GCGCGCCCGCCGCTGACCCCCCCGCGGCCCGGCGCGGCCCCGCGGCCTCCGCCCGCACGGATGTTGCTCCCCGCCGCCTGAAGGATATTTGGGGTTTGATTTTCACATTTCTTCCCTCCCCACCCCCGTCCCGTCCGCCCGTGCCCCGCAGGCTGCCGGCGACACGAGGTAAGAGCGCGAGCCGGTGCCGCCGTGTCCCCCCCGGGGAGCGCCGCGAGACGGGGCGGGCGCTCGGCCCCGCCGGGACGGCCCGGGGGGACACGGGCCTCCCCGCCGCGCGTGGGCTGGGGCCGGGGCAAGGCGAAGCCCCCAGAGGGGSCGAGAGGAGAGGAGGGGACGTCGCGGCGCTTGGCGCCGTCCCGGGCCGCCCGTCGGGCGGTTTGGGGCTTCTCGGACGGTTTTGGTTGCGTTGTTTCCTCCCCTCCGGCCCCGGCGGGGAGCGAGGCCCGATCCGGCCCCGCGCTACCTGCGCTCCCCCGTCCCGCGGGCGCGGAGGAGCCGCGGGGCGCGCGGGCGCTTCCCGCCCGTTTGGAGCGTTTTGGGGGACGCGGCGCGAACGCGGGGCCGCCGAGTCGCGGTGGCCGCGTCGCGACCCGCGCGTTGTCACCGCGCGGAGCCCCGCGGTCGTAGCCGCCCGTTGCCCGCCGACCGCAGCCGTTTCCCGGTACGTGTTGCGCGGCGCCCCGTTCCGCGCGGCGCTTTACGCCGTTTGCCGCTTATCTTCCCCGCTCCGGCGCGGGGAGCTCCTGGTTTTTCGCCCGGTTTAAGGGTGGTACGGAGGGGTTTGGGGGCGCAGTGGCCAAGCGGGAGGGAAAACTCGGGGCCAAACTTTGCTCGGGAGGCGGAGGAGCGAGTGCGGGCAGGCGGAGGGGGAGCCGCGCGCAGCGCSAATGCGGGAACAAACCAGCAGCCCCGCACGGCCACATCGCCGCCTGTTTTGATAATTTCTGCTGTGCACCCTGGCAGAGTCGGCCCTAATTAAAAATCGTGATTTTAACTGCAAATGGACACTGATGGCTACCAGGAGAATCAGAGTTTTCTTAAATTAACAKCGTGTTTCTTAGCAGTAATTAGACAACATCTTGGTTATGTGTAAACGTTGTTCAGGATCTTTTTTTCTGCACACTTATTTTGCTTTTATTGATATGTATTTAATTCTGTATATAATTCTTTTAAAAAAAAAGCRTCACCAGAGAAGCATATTTGTGAGTAAACAGGCGTATGTTTACATGTGTAAATAAACATATTGTTTACCTGAAAACCTGTGATTTATCATTTCATTAACATGCCCGGATGGGAGTGCAARGACTCACTCTTTCATATTCTTCTTTTTAGATCTTGGATGAGTTTTGCAATGTGAAGTTCTGCATAGATGCCAGTCAACCAGATGTAGGAAACTGGCTCAAATACATCAAGTTTGCTGGATGCTACAATCAGCACAACCTTGTTGCGTGTCAGATAAGCGATCAGGTATGTGGCATGCACTTTCTGGACTTACTTTTTAAGGAACTCTGAGGTGTCAATGGAGTGGGGGGGGGGTGGAAAAGAACAAACCAGCAATTCACAACAGATTGTGGCATGTTTGCTGTTATGGCAAGAGATAAGGCACAAATGTGAAATGCAGAATAGAATAATTTTGACTGTGGGGTGCAGATAATACAAATTTTCCTTTTTTTTTTCTTTTTCCCCACACTGTTGTCTCATTCATAAACAATCCCCCCCCCCCGACTTTATTTTTTTTAAGTCTTATACCTGATAAAAACTGGGACGACTTTCTCAGATATGCAGGATTTCCTGATTTTGAGTTAGCACATCTTTGCGTGCCCGTTCCAATGCCATTGCACTGCTAAATTAAAAGTTGATATTTTAATCAAGAACTATATTGTGAAATCAATGGAAAGAATGAGGACAAAGATACAGAACAGACAGTCCTGCAAATAGAACCGTGCGTACAGGGCTCTGCATTTCTACGTACACGTGCGTGAACGGTGTTACGCTTATGCCTCCTCATACTCCTCCCGAGAACTCGTAATGCTTCTGCACCGAACTGCACTCTTTTGTGGGTTTCTTTTCTTTTATTGCACTTAAAAATCCACTCGTTGGGCTCAAACATTGTTTATCCTTGTATGCTGTGGAAAAAAGGCAGGGGCAGGCAGAGGAGCAACGCAGTAAAGCGTCGTGCTTTCAGTTATGCTGATGAGTTATTAGGTGCTGCTTAAATCAGGGTTTGCTTCAGTTTGCAAATAGTACATGCTGTTATGAGATATTTTAATGAGTGAGCTTAGGCTGGGAAAGCTATGTTTCTTGAAAGCAAAAATGTCTAAAATAGCAAAGGAACAACTGGTTGTGAGCTCTTGTTTCAAATTTCAACTTCGATACCAGCAACATAACATTTGGTTCTCCTAATCGCTGTGCTTCGTTTTCACCACTTAATTAACTGCATCAGGTGAATGTTAAAGATTATCTTTAGCCAATTTAATTGCCTTGACAGTATTGAAGGAAGAATCACAAGCAGACACAAAGCCTCAATTAGAAATCATTCTTTCCAATCAAATTCCTGAAATGAATGTGGAACAGGCTGCTGTTTCCAGCAACAATACAGAATTAGGTATTTAGCTCATATGAAATACTTGATTAAAAACTTCTTTAAATAACTTTTTTTTTCCTAGAAACTGTGATAGGGGATCCCTTTAATTTTCAACTTTTAAAATTCAGCGCGGAGCACATGTAACAGTGAATGAACCAGCCAACTGAGATATAATTTATTTTTTATATAGCAGCTGGTTTAACTAAAGAAACCATAAAGATTATTAGTAAATGAAAAATATGTTCTCCAAGCCGAAATATGTTTTATACTGAAAAACAATAAATTCTCTCCGTGCGGAGCATYTATATACCAGGGATACAAAAAGGAAACTATATAGTTTAATTGAAATGGCAAATTCAAATATTTTATGTTCAACAAGAGCTGGCATAAATAGGTAAGACCGTAAAAGGAATCACRTGTATTGGTGAAAGGAGCTTGCTGTGTTTACTCTGATGTTGCTGAGCTGTGTCTCAAAATAGATGCTAGCCCAAAATACCAGCATCTCTCCTCTGACACACTGGTGCGCACTCGCGTTTTGACGTTTTTGGAATGGAAGTTATGGCGCTTGTAAGGCTTCTCTTTTTTAGTGTTTACATTTCTGAGATTTGGTAATGGTGGCTGTACTGCTGCCAATAATTTCTTTCATTCACAGGAGACTTGTTTTTCATTTTGCACGGCATCATGCTGTTCGGAGTGCCATATTTTTCGGGCTTATTGTTGGTGAGGCTTGAAAATTAAAAACCGCTCGTCTCGCAAGTAGCCTGTTGCGAACGGTGCGCTGTCAGCAAGAGCTTGTTGTTCCTGTGGCCCTCTGGAAACACTGAAAACCTACCCACAAAATTGTACACATACTCCAGTGTTTTATGACCGTAGCCTAAAAAGTTAATGCTTAAAATGTGCTCTTGAATCTTAAACCCCCCAAAGCCTTTCTAACAGCTCCTCCTCCTGCTTTATTCTGGCACGGGCTCCGCAGAGGTAACATAAAATCGCGTGGACGGCGAGCTGGGGAAGGGACGTTACGTGGCCAGGCGCGCCGGGCGCGAGGAGCGACACGCGCCAGGGGTCCGTGCGGCGGCGCTTCCCCGCTCGGCCTGCACCAAAACAACAACAAYAACAACAAYAATACTAATAATRACGAAGCTGAAGCGGTTCAGTCCCCGGGCGCGCAGGGCCCGTCCCGGCCGCGCGCGGCGCTGCTCGCCGCGGGGCAGCGCCGGGGACACCGCGGCGATTGTTCGCCTCTAATTGCTTCAACTCATCTGTAAAATTCCCAAGCAAACACTCGCGCTCGGCCGGGAAGGTGGCGGGTGCTGCCAGCGCCCCGAGCCCCGCGCGGGCCGCAGGGTCACGCAGCAGCGCGGGAGACGACCAGGTCGGAGGTGACCCTCAGACCTGCGGCCGTTGAGCCCCAAAAAAGGGGAGAAAAGCTAATTTTTGAGGTTATTTTCTATGTTATGTGTTTTTTTTTCAAAAAGGTAGCACCCTGTTTCACGGTCAAGGTTGGGTTTCATCGCTTAGGAGCAGCTTTGCAAAGGGCCTGGGCTCTTTCTTGCAACTTTATTAACGAGCTTCGCCAGGATGACCGGCTCGGTAATGGTAGGATGCAGTCAAAACACATATGCTGCGTGCAACTCGTATTTCATGTGATTGCAAGCGGAGTAGGGTTGAAAAGCTGCATTTTTTTTTCCTCGTTTTTTATTTCAAATGAAGGCAATCTAGGATTTCTCTTTGCTGTCTTCCTATTATCTCCTGTCATACCTAATCTGACCTGAAAGTATGTAACTCAAGATGTATATGAATAATAAAATTCCACAAATAGTACAGTCTCATTTTTTCCTTTTCCCCAAAGAGACTGCAGTATGTGCAGGGCTGCAAACAGTCTTGTCACTATTATTGCCCTGGAATGTATTTTTTCAGCTCAGAGTCGGTTACAATTCGATAGCAGTTTTTTGCTAACTTGGATGACTGTTATTGTTAAACACCTTTTAGTTGAACTTTTTAATGGCTTCGGACTGATTAGCACTGTTAGGCTGTCYGGCTGCACTGCTGTCTCAGTAAAAGCATTGTTTTAAAATACATTTGATAGTGAAAATACAGTTGAAAATACAGCCCAATGGCAGCAGTGTCTTGCAAGGGAACTGTCATGCAATCAGTGCATTTCGAAGCTGGGTCCACAGTCATTTTAAAGTTATGAAAATGCATGTATTTTTTTCCTTTTTTTTTTTTTAAGAAATGTAGTTGTTAGTTGTTAGTTTCAGTTAAAACTCATGCTTTTTTTTTTTTTCTTCTTCTTCCTCTTCTTTCTTTGACTTGCTTATTGCTTGCAGACCTCAGACAGTGTTAGTGCCATCTAATCTGCAAAGCTGCCCTTAGCTTCCAGGTCTTGCCCTTAGCAGAAGAGCCCCTGAAGCTCCTCTCTGCCTGATCTGTTGAAACGGCCGCGTGGTTTGGAATCAGTCTGCTGAGGTTTGATTTGCTCTGTGCCCTGAAATAATTTTTTAATTAACTTTTGTTATTTAACTCAGTGCTCAAGCAGAAGCTCCTGGAGCGGGGGAGCAGTGCTGGCTGTTAGCGGGGTGCACGATGGTGGGGTGCAGCCTTCGCCGGCGGCGCCGCGACCTTGTCCATCGTGCCGGTTTTGTGAACTCGCTGATTCCGCAGCCGGTTGTGCCGGTGTCCCTGGCACGGAGGCTCCCGACAGGCTCTGTGTTTAAGGGGCAGTTTTGTGGCTTTGTTGGCAGCATGGGGCAGCTCTGGACAGCTGTGGGGCACATGTGCATTTAGCTCGGGGGGCACCTCGTGCTGCACTTCCCTTCCTAGGGCTTTTATAAAGCCAATCAAGCCCCGGTGCAGCTGCCCATGGCTGGGGCATGGGAGCAGGACTGCTGGAAGGAGGCGCCGGGCACTCGTGGTGCCTCTTTGCCGCCCACGGGGGCAATGCCGGGTGGGATGTGCAGTGGAGCCTCCAGGTCCGTGTCGCCCTGTCCTGAGGTGACCCGGCCGCGCAGACGCTTCTCGCAGAGCTGCACATGGCAGCTAGTTGCTGTTCTCGTAGTCCTAGGCTTCCTGTGGACCATTAATACGGAATAAAAGCAGCCAGGTGCTGTCTGCAGGGCGAGTTATCTCTCCAAGAGCAGGACTGGTTGAGTGGTAGCCCCAGCAGGACAGCAGGGCTTGCGGATGCCGCGGTGACGGGACAGGCCATATTGCACCGAGCTGCTTCTGCGCCTTGTGGAGGGGGCTCGCGTTGCCCCACGTCACCGCTGACTCTTCACCGTGTCCCACCACGATCCGCATGGGATCACTGCTGTTCGGGCTGCCCACGGGCACCCGCTGCGGTGGCCCGACGTGCACCAGGGAGCAGAGGCAGTCACGGATGACACGAGCATCGTCGGCTGATGGCAGCCAGGAGGACAGCCCRGTGCTTTCGGAACGTGGGACAGTGACAGGGATGTTTTTCTTGGCAAACATGGATGGTCGGGACCCTCTTGCTCCAGTGCTTCCCCGAGCTGCTTCCTCTCTCCCCGTCTCAGGGCACTTTGGCCTCCAAGGGAGGACAGAAGGGAAAGACTTTGCTCCCAGACGTGCGGCCGCCTGCCCGGCGGGATTCGCRAAGCTTTCCCTGGAAAACCGCCTCCGGGACTGCCCGTGGAAAAAAACTTCYAGTTTATTGCAGTTCATCATTGGCCTGAGTGTGGCGAGGAGGACCTGCCTCAGACTGCATAACACAGCACTGCAGCCCCAGGAGGTGTTCAGCACAGGAGCGAAAATGGAGCCCTGGTCGTCCAGACACCTTCYAATTTGTTTTTTTCTCAAATACTCAATTACATCTTATTACATGCTTATTTATTCATTTGTCTCCTCATCTCCAGGAGGTGGGGCAATACTCCTTCCATTGCCCTTGTCCCTTTAAAGGGAAGCTCCTTTTTAGTTTGGACACTACCCCCAGGCTTGGCATTTCTTTTATCTCTCTCCCTTTTCTCCATCTTCTCCTAGGTGCTGCCTGCCCCAGCTGCGGTCAGTCCAATCCTTTCCCTTGCCAGCATTTCTGCAACCTAAGTTATTTATTTGGTGCCTCCCTGCTGCACTTGGAGCCAGTTAGATGTGTTCAGGAGGTAACATCACCAGGGAGAAAAGCTGCTGCACGTGCCTGCATCTGCCTGGCATCTCTGATCTGCTCTAAAGTCTGAATTTCCCGAGTATCCTGGGGACACAGGCAGCATTTTCCAAGCTCTTATGCCCCTAAGGTCTAGCATGAGCAGGATGCAGCAGAAGGAAACACCTCCCCAGGCTGAGGACCGCAGAGGGGCTCCCCTTGGCTGCTGACCTTGTCCACCCACGTAGACCCAAGCGTTGCTTTTTGGCCCCAAAAGCGTCGCCGTCTCCCTTGGTGCCCGGCGGGGCCGTCAAAGCRAGCGGCGGCTCGCGGGGCGAATGCCTCTCCCCTATTATTGCAATTATTACAACTTCCTGCCCGGGTTGAAGGTCGTTCATAATTCACGCTTCTGTCATCTTTACACATGCCAAATGCAGTCTATTAAGCATAAATAAAATTTCAAGTGCCTGACCAGGAAAAGTAAACTGGACTTCGTAACAACGAGGCCTTATTTGTCCCTTTAAAAGGCAATGGTGCGTTCCTGTGTTTTTTATCCCCCGTTCCCTTGGTGGCTCTGCAGCGTGGCACGTGGATGTGCCCTCCTTGCCCACAAGTGGTTGTTGGGAGGCAGGCGCGAGGGCTGCTGAATTGGGCAATCAAAGCGGGTTGGGGAATGACCCAGGCTTGGCGGATGCCGGAGGGGAAGCTGTGCTCCAGCTGAAGTCAAAAAATTAAAATCCTTAATTATAGTCAGGAACGTAGCCAAGGAATCTGTAAGCTTTAGAATGTAAAAATCCATGTATTCCACATGGCCATTTCCAAAACCCAAATAAGAATGTCTGAAATAGAGAGCTCAGTGTGGTCTGCAAAGCTAGGGGAGGCAGGAGGAGGCAGACCTAGGGAGTCGTTCCCAAGCTCTCCCATCGGGGACTGCTGCATCCCCGCACCTCGGCACAAGCTTCTGCTGCTTAAAAACTCCTGCAGCCTGGGCCATTTTACCCAATGCACTTGGATGTAGCCCCTGTTCCCAGGCAGGGCGATTCCGGTGCATTCCAGGAAGTAACAAGGACATCCATCCAGATCAGATCAGATTGTTTGGAAGTGCGGCGTGTCTGCTTTTGGATCCTCGTTGGGACGTGGTGTGCTGGGGGATTGGTTAGGGTGGGTGACGTTCTTGTTGAATGTACAGCAACAATTTCTTTAATTTTTTTTATTAATAGCTAATCATTTTAATAATAATGCCTTAATGCCAGTATTTCAGATCTGTCACTTGGACCTGGTTTTGGAGGAGCTTTAGTTCTGTGTTGCAAAACAAAAAAAGAGCATTTTACCCAAACCGCCAGTTTTGCTGGCTCTCCCCTTACTTGCAGACAGCAGCAKGGGCAGGTCGGTGATCGCTGCAGCCTTTTTTTTCATGGGAGGACCCCAGATTTTTTTCCCTTTTTGTATTTTGCATCACCATTTCCCTGCAGCCAGCCATTGTGGGCAGCCCTTCTTGCTCCTCTCGCCATGTCCGGACAAGGSGGGTAGGACAGTGTCATTTTCCTTTGGAGTTGCCAGAGTTACTGTAGGGCCTCAAGGTGCTGCTTGGGTTACAGGGCTCGTGCGAATTGGTGATGCGTGAGATGAAGGGGAGAGTGCCCCAAAGCTGGTGACCTGCCCCACATGGGGCCTGTTTGATGCTAACGCGTTTCCAACGGGAACGGGCATTGCAGAGACTCATCTGAAGGGCACGGGAGAGGATGAGCGGCCCGACACAGCCCCAGGACAGCACGGGAGAGAGCGGAGCCGCGAGCCGGGCACAAGCTCCCGCTCCCRTCCCTGCTCTCAGCCGGCTCCTTCGACACCGGCTCTGGAGCGCACGGGRCGAGGAGGAGAAGAGAAGACAGCCGGGAGGAAATGTATTCCGTGGGGTTATTTTTGGACGTCTTGCACGTACCCGTGGGCCGTGCATAGCTCGGAAGCGTTAGGCTCTACGGCCACCTCCTGGAGGACAGCGGTATGTGCGGGGCCACCCTTGGATGTCCCCGCGCGCTGCCTCGCACTGGGGACGCCCAGCGTGTGAGCTGGGAGCAGGGCCTGAGGAGGTGGCCAAGGTTTATCCGAGCCGCTCCGAGGAGCATCCAGTGCTCCCTGCCAGGACACAAAGTGGCCGCAGAGCTTTGGGGTGGCTCATGCTGCCCTCAGGAGACGCTGCCTCTGCTGTTCCTCCGTCTGCACCCCGCTGCGATGAACCTCTCTCAGCATTCRCATCTTGCACGTTGAAGAAGATGAGTGGGGTTCAGTGCCACCACTTTGATCAGCATCATCAGCTTGGGTCCGTTTTAGCTGGTACCTATAGCTTTCCCACCGCAGTCAAGAGGAGAAATGTGGGTTCTGTCCCATTAGCAAGTCATTCAAGATTACATTTTACAGATAAATTACAGGCTGTTTTTATCTCACTAAGCATGTGGGTTGCTGGTGATGTTTGCAGTTTCCATCACGTAGCGCGTGGTGCTGCTGGGGCTGCTGAGAGCGACCTCCGCTTTGCCTAGAACCCACGGCACAAAAGCCTGGGGGCTGGAAGGAGCAGCTTGGCCGTGGTCTAACCTGGCTCCTCTCCATGGCTCTGCTGGCAACAAGCACCCAATTTTCCCATTTGTCCACCTGCCGTGGGGTAAATGCAGAGCGGTTTCCTAGCCRGCCTTGGTGCCTCCTGGCCTTCCGCGCCGCTCACTTTGCTTTCTCTTTTGCAGATATTCTACAGAGTTGTAGTGGATATTGAACCTGGAGAGGAGCTGTTACTGTTCATGAAGAGTGAGGATTATTCACATGAAGCGATGGCTCCAGACATTCACGGTTAGCCACTTCTTACTGTTTCATCTTATCTACTCTAACACTGAGATTAAGTGAAAATTTAGAAAGATTTCTCCTCTTTTGGAATCCCCTTGAGATCCGCTATAGCTAAGAGAACTGGATTGTGCTGGTTATATACCTATATTCCTGCCCTTCTGTTTTCGGAAAGCTGCTCAGTGAATAAATAAGTTTAATATTAGCATGATTGATACATTTTTATTTATCAAAGTTTTGCCACTCTCTGTGACCAAGATTGCTATTGTTGGTGTCCCTTAATTTAAGTTTTCTGACTAAACTCTTTCACAGTGTTAGCAATGAAGAATCCAGATAAAGAGGTCAYAGGTTGCCTGGGAATAAACTGAAATTCCCAGTCACTGGGGGATTTACACCACTAATGACCTAAATATGAGCCTGTGATTCCCTTTAGTTGAACTACAGCCAGGAGGTCATGCCAAGGCCTTTCTCCTTCCGTCCCTCTGGAGAATTGCTCTGTTCTGAAAAGTGATGTCAAAGCTGGCTTTGGGGCTATCTGTTTTGTTCATCACTTGTAGTTGAACTGTTTTCCCTGAAAATTGCCTGTGACTTGCATTCTGTTCCTGTCAAACTGGTGAGCTCAGGTTTGCACAGACTGTTTTCTCAGCATTTTTGCAGAGAAAGTTTTTCAGTTTTCCCTTACTTATTTCATTTTTTTTCCCATACTTATTTCAACTTCCCTGGCAGATATAGATGTCTAGAGAGGTAAAAGAGGGAGGGCAGCAATAGGGCTTGAAACTGAAATGTAATCATTTCATGGATGTTGCAAAAGGAGGAATAGAGACCAGCTTTGTTGGTCCTGCCAGACTAAGGTGTGTGAACTCGGATTCTAGGTTATTTTTTGTCACTTAGTTTAACGACTGTCATTCTTTTCTCTTGGAAGATCTCAGGATGTTAATGTTGCTGAYGCTTTTGAGAACATAGTCACTTTTCCTCCCCTTGCTCATTCATTATTTATCTTCTACAGAGGTTGTCTGTCTACAACTTGTAAACTGCTGCTTGTTCCTTGCAGATTAGGTTGTATCAGACTTGCCTCCACCTCCCAAAGCTACTCGGGATCTGYTGTCTACAGTGCAGGGGCCTGTAAAGGCACAGCTGGGGCTAGCTGAAGAGTGTTTACTTGACACACATTAGGTTAAAGTTTATGCTCTTTACATTTACATTTATCTTGTAAATTCTTAACAATTCAGGGACTGTGCACCAGGGCTTTCCCAGCGCGGCAGAGGTGGYACCCAGGGCTATGCTTTCTTAGGACTGCCTGCACCCTTGGAGCACTGACTTACAGTCTCTGAAAAARAAAAGTGTACGATTATTAATTCATTTGTTGAGCTTTTTTTTCTCCTCTTTAGTGGTAACTTTATTGCTAGAAATGTAACCCTTTTTTAAGCATAATATTTTATGTGGCTATTCCATTGGATATTTTATAAGTGACACCAGAGAAATGCTCTGCAGACACGCACAAGTAGTGTCCCTTAGGGATCATTTAGACCCAAACTGGAGCAGGTTTTCACTAGGTCTGAACTATTACTAGAGGATGGTGAAGAGCAGAGCACTGTTCTCATCATGATGGTTTCTCAGGATCATTTTGACCCTCAGGTAGTGGTCTCCTGTTGTGCTGCCCATGTATGAGAGGTCAGTCAGGGTCCTCAGGTTGCCAGGTGCCCTACGGACCCTGAGCCCGTGGGCATTTATGTCTGCAGGGCTGATGACACTGAAATCAGAGTGGGATACATGGGCAGCCACATCAACCACTAGTGTAGAATCCAACAGGAAGCRTATCCCGGCATGCCTTTTTCCAAGGTTACTTTTGGGGCTTTCTCCCAGCTGATCAATTATTTCGCAGTAATTATTAAGCCATGGAATGAAATATTTACTCCAAAGTGGTCATTCTACTGATCTTCTTTGGTCACTTCTACTAAGAAACACACTGAGTCCATTTTTATTCTTACTGAATTCACAAGCAAGGTCCCTTCTCTTCTTTATGCTCCACCTCTGGCTTACACCGAGTAGGCTTAGGTGCTGAAGAGAACCATAATGGAAATTAAAAGGCTTTTGAAATCTCCATTAACACCCCCTTGGGTATTTTAAATGTTGACATTTGTGTCTAAGTCACTCTACCTCATTCTGAAAGGTAGACACTGACAGCTTCCCACTGGATATCCATCTTAGACCCTATATATCTCCATTTAGGATATTATATAAACACAGTGTGTTAGGGTTCCCTATTGGATGTGACCCAGGTGGTTAATAAATAGTATTGCGCTGTTGTATGTTGCAGAATTAAAGCACAATTTATCTTTGTTTTGCAGAGGAGCGCCAGTATCGCTGTGAGGACTGCGACCAGCTCTTCGAGTCCAAGGCGGAGCTAGTAGACCACCAGAAGTTCCCGTGCAGCACCCCTCACTCTGCGTTCTCCATGGTGGAGGAGGACTTTCAGAAAAAGCTTGACACGGAGAATGACCTTCGGGATGTGCATGAAATCCAGGAATGTAAAGAGTGCGATCAAGTCTTCCCGGACTTACAAAGGTAGGAGCAGAAGCTTAAAATGTGATGGAATGAGGCAAATTCTGACACCTTCRGTGTGATGATACAGGGCACCAGTGAGGGCAGAATCTGCTGCATTCATCTCATACACAAAATAAATATGAAAGTTACTGAGACTCCTGTGCTGTTTGGTGTTCTAGGACGTGGAAATCAGTTGAGTTTCAGTAATTGATTCAGTCCTTGCCTTGATACCCTTAAGGACTGGTCCTTGACCTGAGGATCATAAAGAAGTGGTCCTCTGATAGTGGTTTCTTTAGCTGTCATAAGTTGGTCTAGTTGCACTGAAATCAAAGAAGTGATTATAGTTCAAATGAGCTAAGGTCTGGACTTAGTATTTTTAGGTGGAAATAACCCAGAGTGTCTCTGAGTCTTTTGCAAACAAGCCATGCCTGAAAGAGTTAAGCTACACTGTAACCTAGATGTTAATATTTGATATATAGCCTTTCATTCAGGAAACTGTGCAGTCCTTCAGGTCATCACATTAAGCATAACTTTTTTGAGAAGTAAATTGTACGGAACTGTCCTGCTTCAGCTGAAAACAGTGATGATACAAATGTCTTTAGCTGCTGTGAGAAGAGGATCAGGCCCACACTACCCAGCACTGCCCAGCCACAACTTATTTTCATTAATTAATCTGATTTTAGCAGTATTGCAATGCAAAGACAGTACAAAACACTGAACTGTTTTAATGATGATTCCTTAGGGTCAATGGCAAGCAGGATTTTTATGCTGTTCTGCAAAAGAATAATTTTAATTCCTTTGGAAATCATGAGTGCAAAGAGCACTTGGCTTCATCTCTTTCTTATTATATCTGTCAGTTTAAATAGGTAGACGTACATGCATGTATACCTGAAATATGCATTCAGGAATGTAAATGGGAAGTGCATCTTTTATACAATGATCATTTACATATGTCCTGCCATTGTAGTTTTTGGTGGCTACCTGAAATAATGTGTTGCAGTGTGGATTACAGCAGATTTGGCAAATTACTGATAAGTGTTTAGAGTGCAGAAGAGCTTCTGCAGTACTTTGATAATGAATTTACATCTTAGTGCTCTCATTTTGAGGGAAAAGTTGGCCCTTGCCAAGATTTCATARTAGTGCTGAGATATTTCAATAACAAAATTCTGGGCCAGATCTTAGCTATACTAAGGTAGTGCATTTCTTACACATTGCGTGGGTTCAGCCTAAGCCACAGCATTAACTGCCTTTTTGGAGACAGCAGGATATTGCATTCTTTAATCATCAGCCACCCCTTAAATAATAACTTAGCAATTAGTAGTTTGTTACTTTGGACAACTGATACTGAGTATTTCAGGCACTGTTTCTGCAAGATGTGGCATCCTTTCCCCAAATTAGGACTCTTTTGGGTCCTATTGACTGAGCGGAGGATGTTCAGCATCACACAGGAGATCTCCAAGCAGCAYCTCATATGACCCGGTCCTTTCACTTCACAAAATTAATGACACTACCCCAAAAATTAAAACACAGTGTACCAGGCATTGCTGTCCATCTCTTTGATGAACCCCACTGAGTGTGGGCTTGTGCAGACACAGAGCCTTATTCATCAGGTGATACTGAGCAAGATTTGGCTCCACGTGTCTGATTTTCAGTTGGAGTGATTGATTTGAAAGGGCTGATGTCGGTAGATCAGGTCCAAAGGATTGCAGTAATGTCAGGGAGGGAAAGGCCTGGACAGTAGCATTTTTTGCACACAGTGAGTTATTCTATATTAAAGTTCCTTCCTGCTGACGAGCTAGAGGACAGTATCTAACATAGGAGAATCATTGAACAAATGTAAATTTAGCTTAAAGTATTAAAAATTGAAAAGAAAGGGCAGAAAACAAAGAACTAGTCATCATAAATAGATGGGCAGCATGGTGAGAAAGAGTGAAAAATGAGATTGAAGGCAGTCATTCTCCGAACTCTTGAATTATTGAAAAGCTAATCCATGACAAAGACAGTTCACAGCAAAAGAAGTCCAGGAGTGTGCTATAGCCAGATTATATAAAACAAAAGGCCAGAGTGACCTGGGCTTGAGGGGGTGCGGAATGAAGGTGAGAAATAGCAGAGCAGGGAGGTTGAGACGTGGATGTGTGTGCTGGGGGCGGATGCAGCTCCGTGGTGGTGGAAGGTTGCAGAGCCACGTTCAGCATCCTGGGAGCTGGCACCAGTGCGAGGGACAGGAACCTCTTTAGGTGTTTTGGGAAGGTTGTTTCCGAGTGCATGAGGGAGGTGCAGTTATCACAGAAGGATTGGGAGAGAAAGCCAGATTTTTTTTTATTTTTTTCCTCCAAAAGGACAGAAGATCCTGAGAGGGGTAGATGTAAGCAGCATCCTCAGGATGAGAGCATTGCCATGAATAAAAGTTGCTAATCAGACTGCAAAAGTCAGGGCAGGCTGTAAATTCCGTTCCCTCCAGTGGTGTTGGCAGCGCAGTGCTGAAAATCCCAGGTCCCAGTGGCTTTTTGTGAGCCTACGTCTACACTATGTAGTGATTGTTTCTCTTTTACTCAAGCAAGGGAGCAAGCCACAGCTTTATATGTGAGCAAGCAGTGCAGGTGTTAAGCAGTGTGCTTGCTCTCCATGAATACTAAAMTAGCAATTGAAGGAATTCAGAATTGAATTTGGAATGAATTCAGGGATATGCAACAAAAAAAATACACTTGATTGAATACACTACTAATAGACTAAATAAATGRCTGAGAAATGAATGCATTAATAACTAGCTAATTGGATGTAGTTACTAATAATCAAACTATAACTTTTATCTTAGTGTCTGGTGTTGAATTGATTCTGATCATTTACACTAGACCCGATATCGGGCTGCCATCAGAAGAGTGCAATTATATAAGAGATTGGATCCAAGGTGTATTTTGACTGAAATGAATAAAGTAGAAATAATTCAGACTGCAGGAAAGATTTACTGGAGTGCAATATTGAGGAGTGTGTGAAATAATCTCCTTAGGGAGGGATGGATGCATCATCTCCTGGAGCATTTGCAGTGTCCTGGCAAAGCACTGGACCCTGTATTACTGCAGTGGAATTGGGACCAGGCCGTGTGCTTGATGCTGCTGCTCACAGCTCAGCGACCCTGGGACTGTCAGGATGGAGCCTCTGGGTTTTCTCTGCACTAGGTGCTGTAGTTGCCTGCTCTGCTCGGTCTGTTCCTGGCGCTCCAGCTCCGTGGCTGCACAGGTCTGGAGTGGCCGAGGAAGCCGCGGTTCTGTGCGGGGCTGCCGGGAGCTCCCTCAGCCCCTCTCTGTTTCCGCAGCCTGGAGAAGCACATGCTGTCGCACAGCGAGGAGAGGGAGTACAAGTGCGACCAGTGCCCCAAAGCCTTCAACTGGAAGTCCAACTTGATACGTCACCAGATGTCGCATGACAGCGGGAAGCACTACGAGTGTGAAAACTGTGCCAAGGTACAGTGAATTTGTGGGCTGTCTGTCCTTCCTTCATTGCTGAATGTGCAAGGGTAGGAGAGCAAGGCTGCACCGAATCAGGACACAGGAGCTCCTGTTGGGAACTCTGTGCTGGTCCAGCCTGTTTTTTCCAGGATTTACAAGGGTCTGTGGGCAGAATTTGTGGGGTTTAGAGGAGGGCTTTGCTCTTTGCGTGTGGGGTCTGGAGCTCATGAGAGCAGTTGTGCCCTTAAGGTTATGAACTGCCTGACTTGCAGGCCCTGAGCTCTCCTCTGGAAGGAGAGTAGGGACCTGCTTTCCTCAATTTGGTTGCAGTCACAGAACACTATAGATATGCTTTGAGTTGCCTCGGTACGTCTTGCCAATGGAACTGGTACCTACTGCACATCTTGTRGCTCTGAGGGGCGAGAATCCCTGCTGGAAGTGCAGGGTGGATGGATGTGCCTTCCCATGCCCTGGGACTTCCAATTGCAGGGGTTGTTACATCTGGTGTACTGGTTACAGAWGGGTTATCAGAAACAGCAAGTATTTGGCTAAACCTCGAAAGTCCGTCTTTGTGGGCAAAGCTTCCAGTGACTTCCATTTAGCAAGACTGAATAAGACAACAAGCAGCCAAAGACAGATTTTAGATCTTAATAAAAACCTCCCAATAACTTCGAGGTTTGAATTTTGGTAGATGCTTGTAGTAACTGGCTTCTTTTGCAGTTAAGTTTCTTGGTTAATCAGTACTCATTTCCTAGCAGGTTTTCACGGACCCCAGCAACCTTCAGAGACATATTCGTTCCCAGCATGTTGGGGCTCGTGCTCACGCTTGTCCAGAGTGTGGCAAAACCTTTGCCACTTCTTCAGGCCTCAAACAGCACAAACACATCCACAGCAGTGTCAAACCTTTTATATGTAAGTCTGCAACTAAATGTCTTCAGTTAAGTGTATTTCTCTTATCAAAAAAAAGCAGCATGATGTGGAAGCAGAAGGTTGTGTTGTGCTTTCGTTCAATTTCTCATTGGTTTCATGGGGATTGGCTTGCACCTGGATTTATTAAATGAATTTTGGATAATTCACAAGGGTTTTTTTTTTTATGTATGATTTTCATTTTCAGACAGACACTGTATAAATGTACCGGTTGTCCTCACAATGTATTTCCATGCACAGATGACAGAGCAAGCTGGGAGTAGGATTTAGCTAAGAGCCAGCGATATCAGGCTTGGAGGTTGCAGTTTTGGGTTGTTTTAAACCAACCTCAGCTGGTTGCTCGTGTCTCCTGGCTCCTTGCGTGCTGGATCGCATCCTGCCCGGCCTGAGGGCCACGGAGCAGCGGTGCTGGCCCAGGGCAGGAGGTGGGAATGCTGGGTCACAGTCTGCAGCACTTGGGAATTGGGTAGGACCAGCACAAATGTAGAAATTAATTTTAGGCTGCAAGTCTATAGCATCTATAGCAGATGAGATGCCGTGGTGTTCATTGGAATTGGAAAAAATTAAGTCTCACAGCCAGTGCATCTCAGCTGGAGGAGGTTGCCTCACTCCTTGAGGTTTCTTTGTATGTCCTACATTTAAGTGCTGAGTTTAGCTGTTAGATTTTTGCAAACAATTGCTCCAGCAGTAAAAGTTGCCTCATCTCTGAGCTTGGCTCAGTAGTGAAATATAAGACAGATCCTTAAAGTCTTCAGGATTGCATGTACCACCTAGCCAGATCCTGCTATGAGATGGGGAAACCTTGACACACGATAACCTTACAAGCTGCTTTCCTTTCAACAGAGAACCAGAGGCAGGAAATATTTAAGAATTTGGTTCTTGTTGCTGTTAAGCTCCAGCACGGTCTTTTCAAGCACCTGTTATGGCTTGAAAAACACCTGCTTTGGCCACCTCCCCTACTTGTTTTCTGAATTTTTTATCTTCTGCAGTTYTCATCTCAACACTAATTTACTAAAATATTCGAATGTTTTTTTCCCAGTGGACCATATTTTCTGTCCTGATAGTTTATACTAGATTTGATGGATGGAAGTGGCACTGCATCCAGATAAGGAGGCAGAGCAGGTTATTCTCATAGCAGAGCACAGGAAAGCTGCACTTCCCCTATACTGTATGGTCCTGTTCTTTAGGGGTGTGAATCCCACAGCTGCAGTATTAAACTTTGCAGTGTATCAAGACACCCAGCTTAGTCTCCTAGGGAGCAGTAAAACCCTTCTTTGACATGTGTTTTGGGTCTGGATAATACATTAAGAGAAGCTCTAATACCATTAGACTCATTCATGTGAAGTCTGCATATCTGCCATTCGTTTAGATAATACTTGATTGTGGCTGTGTGAGAAAATAGTAACTAACTAAATCCAGTTATAACTACAGCTAATAAACCTGGGATTACCAGATACATTTAAAATGTATAATTATTAGAAAACCATAACTTCTGGCCAGGTAGGGAATTTTCAGGTAATACAGTTGTGGTCAATACTATATATAGGAGTGACACCTCTCTTAAATTAAATCATATCTGCAATGCTTTGTTGGTGCCTATTCTATTAAATCAGCACAGCCATTGATATTCTTGAAATTTACAGTATGAGGGATGAGAAACCATTGAACAGTCTATGAGTAATAGCCGTGTAATTATAGAAGAAAAGAATTTGGAGACCACATGTTCAGTGGGCTTTTCTGAGCAGTGAGGGGAGCGGGACAGAAACGGGGGTGGGAGGTAGGGTCACCTCAAGTAGATATCTGTTTTCCACCGAGAGGCCACACACCATGATTTACTCTACCAGTCTGTTTATGGCAACTGTCTCTTATTACAGTATTCCGCCCAAGCTTGAGTGAAAACTCACCAACACTAAGGTAATTACTCACTGCCTTCATGAAATCTCCAGCCTCTCCAAATAGAAACCACATGCCATAATAGACTGAACGTATCYGAGATAGTACTTACAGTAATTTTTTTTAATAAGCAGAAAATTTGCAAACTTAACTACGAGCTATTTTGGGGGCTCTGAGACAATCGTGGTCCAGAATGTACTTAAACACGAGATGAGTTTTTGCAGCTTGGGAGACAGAGYGGGAGCTTGTGTAAAAGCTGGGGTCTCTGCAGCAATAAAAACTACAAGGAGAGAAGCTTCCCTTACAAGTTAGCTGCTTGAAAGTATGGCACTGCGATTTAAAGGATGTCGTAAGGTGTAACCGGAGAAATCAAACCCAGCTCCTGTTGCTTTGATACGTGGAAGCAATTAAAGTTGATAACCATCCCCCATCTACTAAATCCTAAGYGAAGCGGCAGTGAAAAAGAGGTAGATCTTATAACAAAAACTTATTGGGCTGGTCCTCCCTCCTGGGAATATTCACAGTGGCCCAGGCAGTGTTAGTGATTTATACACGGAGTTCCCCCCTAAAAATCAATGGGGCATTTGCTGTAAACCTCGATGTTACACGGAGTTGTAACTCAGTTGGACGCTGCCCATGACTAAGTCTGTTCTGGTGAGTAGGGACTGCAGACCTGGGCCCAAAATTTCTGTTCAGCCTTATAAGCCACATACCCATAACCGTGCAAGAGGCATCTTGACCAAGAATCACTTCATTAGATAGTTGTACATAACCTCTATGCTTGAAAAGGTAAGCTTGACAGTACAGCTATTAAATATTTCATTAAAATTGCAATAATAAATATTTAGAGTTCTTATTTGCCCTGATTAATTCAATTTTATTTCAAAAGCCAGACAAAATACATTGGTCATTTGGAAGATTGCTATGCATCTTCTTCAGTAGTTTGTAAAGATAACCTTAAATTGTAAACGTGTATTTTTGCTTTTCTCTGGAAGCAGAATATTTCACAGTTCTGTTATCTTTTTAATATATTAATGGAGAATAATACATTAATAATTAGGATATATTATTAGAACTGTATTAATGAGGATAATGTATTATTCTCCATTTGAAGATCTTTGAAGAACTTTCCTAGCTTTTGGAAGAACAGATCTGGACAAAACACATTTTTTTCTGTTTACCAGTCTCGTCTTACCCGACTGAAAAGTCAAATTTGATATGGTCATGGGAATAAGAAGCAGGTTCTTACCGTGACCTGTTGTAAGATCAGAGTCTATAAAATATGATTTGTTTTACATTATGTATTAGTCGTGTAAAAGTATGTATATTTGAAAGGACAAACGGAGATTTTTTTTTTCTGAAAAAAAAAAATATATGGCCTGCTGCTCAGCTGGAGTGTATTAGGTATAACTCCATAGCTGTTGATGGAGTTATCCTGCTTTACGGAAGGAGAGGAATTGGCCCATCATATCCCAGATGACGACTGTGCAGCCCTTCAGCTACACTTGTGCAAACAGCCTKTATAGACACCTTAATTTTGATTTATGTGGTCAAGTTGATGGGAGTGATGGGAGCTTTGCATGCRGGACCTCAGCAGTGAGGATGAGGGGTGCTCAAACCTCGAGTTTGGTTTTGTACTGTTAAGCAGAGCCTTGACGTTGTTTTGTGGGAGCAAGGCCTTTATGCCTAGGATTAGGATAAAAATAGCAGAAAGGCAGCAGAAAAGATTGGCGCTTGTTACTGCAGCAATAAACCACCAAYGCTTCTGTGATAAATAGGTGGATAAAATCTTCCCAGAAGGTAAACAAAAGCACTTAGGAAAAGAAAAAGCAAACATTACAGTAGGAACTAGGAAAAACATTTCTCCTCTCCTGTCTTCTCCTTTTACTTTTCTCTTTCTTTTTTCCCTTTCATTTTTCTTCCT